CCCCCCATGCTTCCCAAAACGTCGGGCACGGGATACCGATTGGTGGTGCTCGATGCTGGGCTCTGCCGTGTCTGGCAGTGCCGGCGTCGGCCCGTGCTTCGCGAGCTGCAGCGACAGATTCACCGCCCCTATTGAGGCGTTGCACGGGGGCGTTCGTCCGTTGATTGCGCGTGGATTCAGGTAGCTGAAGGTGGGGCAGACCAACGGCAGTCTTGTCGTGGCGCGCTGGGTGCGGCTGATTTCAGCGAGTACTACGATCGGATTCCTTTGGACAGGCCGCGGGGCACGTTCGTCAGTTTCCAGACGCCGGCGCCCATTTATCAAGTTGGTGCACCATATGTGGCATGCACCGCGAGTCTTGCGTCTCAACGATCACCATGCGGATGAGCCGCCGCGTGCGGCTTAGCCCTTCTGGCGACGCGTTCTGCGACGTGGCGGTCAACGTTTGGCCTGTTTGCAAGTGCGGCGGTTTCTCTTTGGCCGGGAAGCCGAGCGCCCAGTTCGCGAGCTACATAGTTGACAACTCCACCCGCGCGGCATCCACTACTGCGAGCACTACCTCCTCCATGATGGTGGCGGCCATGGTTTATTTCAGGCGTGCTGTGGATGAGCTCGGTGCGGTTGTCGCTGACAGGCTCGCGATTGCGGGTGCCAGCCTTTCTCTTGCTCAGGATGTTCCGAGTGCGCTTCGTCTCCCAGCTTCAGCCGCCGGCCGCTGCGCCGTCTGCGTCGGGGCCGACGTCAGCGAGGGCAGCCGCCGCGAGGAGAAGGGGGCACCCCTCGAGCGGGCCAAGCGTCGTCAGCACATGGTGGAGCGCATGCGGAAGCCCAAGCGTTCCGGCAAGGTCATCACTGGCACAAGGCCAAATCCATCGGCGCAGTTCTCCGCGCTGGTTCCATAGCCGGGGCCACCTTCGGCAGCGGGGTCGTCGGCCTCAGGAATGCGGAATGGCTCCAGTGCCGTCGGGGCGTAGCTCGAGGGCAGCTCCCTGTGCACGGCGGCGTGGGTCTCGCCAGCAAGACGATGCTGCTCGGCGATGGGGCGGGAGCGTCAGCCATCGCGCCTGCGATCCAGTGGTGCGGGATGCTTTGGCAGTCTAAGGTCTGCGACCACCCGCCGGCCGCTCGCGCGCGCTTGCTCCGGCTTTGGCGAGACGCCGAGCCCTGTGAGGCCAATGACTGGCCGTCCAGTCGCGGGCCTCTTTCTCGCGCTGTCCTTGCTGTGTGTCGAGCTGGGTAGAGCGTGCTCTCTGCGACGAGATGGCTGGGCCACAGGGGTTCTGTCATAGACGTCAGTCGCGCGCCCCCCAGCATGCCCTTTATCCTCAGGTCAGCAGGAATTCAAAGGCACCACGGGTTTTCTTGAGCACCGCATCTGGGAGCTCCACAAGGATCCAGGGCCTCGCACGCCCTCGTTCGCCCCGCGCTCGGCGGTCGGTCGCGTCGGTGTTGCGGCCTCGCGCAGTTATTGATCGGGATCTGTTCTTGCCGCGGTGTCTGGACCAAGGCCCGCGCCCAAGCTGCCAGCTACCGCTGCGACGGTCTCTGCGCTTGCGGCCAGAGGCAAACTCTCAAGCACTGCCTGTGCGAGTGCACGCTGCCTGAGGTAGTTCCCGCTCTTGCCGAGTCCAAGGTCAGTGCGTTGTTTCTGCAGGTTGGCCTTGAGTCCGATTATCCTATCTTTGTGCAAGGAGTGTTGGTGCACGATGACAAGGGCGCCCCCCCCCCCCCCTTCCTGCACAGACCAGGTGGTCCTCGAAGGCCCCCAGGCGGAAGCACTATACGTGGACGTCGAAGGAGTTGCATCTCTTGTCCAGGGGCCGCGACTTGATGGCGCTCCCGTGAGTCGTGCGCGCGACCAGGTTCAGTTGAGCTGGAGCGCGCATCCTTGTCCATCGTTGCTTTTCCCTTTGCATCAGGTGTACCAGGCGCTATGCTGCGTGGGCCTGTGGCTGGTTACTTCCTTCAGACTCCGAGCATCGCTGGGAGCGTTGCTCTCTGCTTGATTGGTCAGATCGCCGACCGCGAGACCCTGGCTGGCAGTGACTGCGCGGCGGCGATTCGTCGATCCCAGCAGCATGCGTCCAATCAGTTGCGCGCGTCCAACCAGGCTGCAGGTATATTGAAATTCGGTCATGGCCTCGAGGGCCGCCAGTTCATCTCGGCTCGTCATATGATGGCTCATCGTTCGTAGGAACAGATCGAGAGCCCCGATGCCGAGGAGCGCCACTGGGCGGAGGCCAGCAGGATTGCCGATCATCATGCGAAGCTTGCCTCCAGCCCCCACCCCTCCCCTGCACCAGAGTTTTTGGTATCGCTCGGTCTCGCGAGGAGTCGGGTTGCCGATTTTGTGTTTTTTGCTGGTGTTGTCCTCCCTTGTTTCCTTAAGGACAGCCTTCCTCGCTGGCGTCGACTTGCGGTGTTGCGATGTAAGCTTCACTCTCGTGGGGAGGGGTGGCACTCTTGGGGGTGGAGTGATCTGGGCTGGCAATGTGCTTTTTGTTTCAAGGTTTCGCCGTCGTGCCGCAACCTGCCGATGAATGGATGTCTTGGAAACCCGTCGTTTCTGATGCCCCTCACGGAAGACCCCTTCGGGCACCAGTTGCTTGCCGCGTCGGGTTCTCGCCTTGTTCTTCTGCGTGGCGTGCAGTGCAGTGCCGAGAGTGAGGAGGCCAGGCGCGGGTCCCTGGTGTGCGTGAAGTGCGGGAGGTGGAGTCAGGAGAAATCCACTAAGCTGGCCAGAGCCTGTGCCTCCCCCGACCCGCACGGGCGAAATCATTTTGTTTTGTTTTCGACGGGGGTTGGCCCCCAACCCTCGAATCCGTGCGGTGATCGAGCGGGCCATCCCCGCCCCTCGCGTCGGTGTGTCGGTTGCGTCCGCTCAGGACGTCGTGTCCAGAACCACCGTCGCCGGCAGTGCCAGTTGTGCTTTGGACAGCGCTGTCCCGTACGAAGCTCGACTGAATCCGAATTCGTGATGAGGCCCGTCGGAGGCCCTAGTGGGGTGGCGTGCACCTGTCGCAAACATCCCCTTCGATGGTGCACCCCCCCATTTTTGTGTCGGGCTGGTCCCTTCCTCCCTGCACGACCCTGGGAGCCGTCTCATCTCATCTCATCCTGGGCGACGCCGGCGGGGGGCCGTGCTCGGCTCTGCTCGTCCCGGCGGGCAGGAGACCGCCCCAGAGAACTAACGTGCGGCGCAGCCTGGCAGGAGCGAGACCGCAGCGCAGGGCTTCGGCACCCAAGCATGGCCTCGTCGTCGTCGTCGTTCCTCACGTTTATTGCGCGGGCCCTTGGCGCTGTACGAAGGACCGCGGCCTGGGAGTCGCGGGCCCTTCGTTTTCCACGAGGGATCCATGGCCTTGGCTTGAAGCCGGGCCTGTCCTTCGACAGGAAGAAGATTCCAACATGGTTAGACCATCCTGTGGGGAAGATGCTCCAAACTGTGTTGGACTCCTTTGGCGTAGCTTCGACCCCGTTTCGCTCTTCCTCCGAAATCCACCTGCAGGAGGCAACGCCCGACCTCACCTGCTTCGTGGGGGATCGCGCGTGGCCTCGGAGGCGAGGGCACTTCCGAGCCTTCTGAGAAGGCCTTCTCCTTCCCCCTTCCCTCCCGGGCGCGCCGCCGAGGTCCGCCGCCCGTTCTCGACGCCCCGAAGGGTTGCCTGGCGTGCAGGACCGTGTGGGCGCTGCCGGTCCCCGCACAAGACCTCCCCACGGGCCCTTTCTTGAGCAGGGCAGCGCGGACACGCGTTCACGGTTTTCTGTACTGAACTCGAGATTTAGGGGAGCTACGGAGCTGGTACGCACAGAAACCGATTCCGATTCATCAGGCGCGTTCATCTGAAGCATCCAGAGGTCTGAACTCAGTCTGCTGCCCGAGCCAGGTCTGCAAAACTATCCGTATTCTGAGCCCCTGCTCCGTGGGGGAGATCGCGCGTGGCCTCGGCGGCGCGGCCCCGCCGCACCGCCTCGCGGAAGGGAGGGGCGCCGCGGCCCCTGCCCGCGCGGCTCCCCGCTGCCCTCGGAGGGCCCCCGGCCTCGGGCCTCCCGGGCTCGGCGGAGAGCACGTGCTGTGATGTTCCGACCTGGGCAGTTTCTCTAAGACATTGGATTCTTTGGAAAAAAACATGTGATTTTGATACATGATTAATGTGTGCATGAATGTATGCATGAACTCATCGTTGTTGTTAATGCAAAGCCCCTGCATCTTTAATGCATGATCCGCACGCGGAGCATGTACTAAAAACGACACTGTACTGTAACCCTGACCGCCAGAAAGAACTTCGAGCACCAGGGAAGTGCCGGAACTGGAGGGTTCTCGCGTTCCGGGCCCCAGGGGGCGATGCTCGCTCGGTGCTGTTTCGGTGCCTTTTCGAGGCGCTCGAAATGACATTTCTGGGATGGGGTCTTTCAGTGCGATGGGAGCAGCATGACACAAATTCATTGACATAAGCTTTTCCAGCTCCGCGCGGATTTCTTGGATCCGCGCTGGGCCCCCCCAGCGGCGCCTCCGGCGCCGCCCCTGGCGCGCTCCGCGCGCCAGGAGGGGGGTCCGGCGCGGATCCACGAAATCCGCGCGAAGTGCCAACAGTCTATGTTTATGCCGGTTTTTTCTTTTCTGAGAACGGCCTTCCCCGGAGGACCCCATCTGCCCTCTGCCGTCCTCCTCCTCCTCCCTCTGCAGCTGCCTGGAGCGGGATGGGTCTAGGGCGCAGCCTTCTTTGGGATGCATGCTGCTTCCGCCCACGGAGTGTGGGCGCCGAATCGGTCTCTGAAGCATCACCCCCCCAGCTTTTTTCGTCGTCTCCCAAAACACACGCCAGAAAGCCAAGGGGTGCAACCGGAGGGGGGCACCTGGCGCCGACCCGAGAAATCCGCGCGCGGACCTCCGAAAATTCGTGCCTGCGCCGTCGTCCACCTCCTGTCATTGCCTGAGCTCTCCGCCCCGCTCCGCCGCTCGCCGCCTCGTCCCGCCAGCCGGCCCCCCTCCGCGCAAGTCTGGAACACGTACTGGGCCATGGAGTGCCCCGACTGGGGCTGCCTCGCCCTCGGGCGTGGGGGGGGCCTGCTGCCGCTGGGCCGGCAAGGCGACAGCAGACCGGGGGGGGGGGGGATCGAGGACGGGGAGGCCATAGAGGAGCAGGACTTCTAATCAGGAGGAGGAGGAGGAGGAGGAGGAGGTGGAGGAGGAGGTGGTGGAGGAGGAGGAGGAGGAGGAGGAGAAGAAGAACTGTGGATCAGGAGGAGGACGAGGAGGAGGGGGAAGATGCCACGGGAGGAGCAGGCGGAGGAGGAGGCCACGGCACACGAGAACCGGAGGCTTCACCGGCACGGAGCGTATAGCCGCGTGGGGGGGGGGCTGATTCGTGTGCCCGCGCTCGCCACCAGCACCGCAGGCCTCGAGTCGGCCGATGCAGCCCCGAATCTGCACGGACAAGACACATCGCAGGAGGGAGGCGGCGCGAACAGCCTGTTCTCGCTGCTCGGAGTCTCGACACGGGCGCCACCCCAACGACCCACGGCTCCTCCTCGGGCGCAGGAGCAGCGCATTCGGGCTCCAAAGAGGGAGCTGGTTTGAGAGGTCGGCAGACCCAGACCCCATCCAGTCGCCCTCCTCCTCCTCCTCCTTTTCCTCCTCCTCCCCCTGCTCCTCCTCCTCCTCCTTCTCTTCTTCCTCCTCCTCTTCCTCCTCCTCCTCTTCCTCCTCCACCCCTGCCCCCCTGAGGCGCACCTCAGCAGACACTAGCGGTCACTAGCGCCCCGCATTGGCGGGGTGCATGCGACGGGGGCGGCGGTGCGGGCGAAGCTTGGGCCGCACGTCTTGCCCCCACGTGCAGCCCCCAGGTGCCGCCCCCTGTGCGTCAACGTGTAGCCCTCGCGCGTCGCCCCTGCGAGTCGCTCCCGCTTTCAAGCAGTGGCGAAGCGTCCCAGCTCGCCTATAGCCCCACCAAACAATGTTCTAAGAACCTTTTGTGGTTCCCACGAAATGTTCTTAGAAAATTTCGTGGTATGACTATAGGAATGCCGGGACGGTCGGTCCCTGCTCAACGCTTGCACCCCCCCCCTCAAGTGCACCCCCCGGGTGTCGCCCCACACGTGCAGCTCCCAGGTGTCGCCCCCAGACCCTGGGCTTGAGTCGGACATGTCCCCTCTGCAGGAGGAGTATTTAAAGATAGTCCCAAAGTAGTCTGGGGATGTGCTTTCTCATTGTTTGTTGATTATTTTCGAACGCTTTTTCACCCGTTTTTTCGTCCAAAATCCGCCTGTAGAACCGTAGAAGGACTTGCCCGACCTAACCCTGGGCCCCCCATCCAGCCACGCGCGCGCTGGAGTATGTCAGACCGTTCGGGCTCCCTCACTCGGACATTCGTTTGTCCGCGGCAGACTCGCCCACGCGCCAGCGCAGCATCGAGGCCGATGCAGGATGCACTCTTCCAGCACGGGCGCGGCGGCACCATACTAGGGCTGTCTGGGACGCGGCGTGACGGTGCTGTAGCGTGTCGAGGATACAACGTTGCATTAATGTTGGATCGTCTTTGGGGGGCACCTTGGAGGCGTCTTGGGGGGCTGCCTTTTGACATCCTGGGGCCCTCTCGGCAGCCTCTTGGGAGCCTTCGGAGGGCCTGCAGGAGGTCTCTGATGCCTCTGCCGAGCTGACGTTCTCCAACATGTTCCCTGGCACGCCCACGGAGACGGCCCCAGACGCATCCAAAAACATGGGCCCTGGTCCCTTCGCACGTCCTGGCACGGCCCCTCGCATGTCCCCGGACACGTCCCATAGCACGCCCACTGGTTCGCCCCTAGACGCGTTCCTTGTCGCGTGTCCCCTGGAGGGTCCCGTGGCACGTCCCCCCCCGGACGGGCACCTGGGATGCACTACCGTATTGTCTAGAGACTCCATCCTCGAGTGCGGACACACACGGGCTGCACCTTGTACGGCCCAAGGAACATGTTAGCCAGTGTGGACCCAAAGAGTGTGTTTCTAGCACTATATGGTGTGCAATCGATGCGAAACAATAGATGCTGTACAATATGTGGCGCAAGGTTTTATGAGTGTGTATGTATATATATACACATTTATACGTACATATACATATAGACTCAAGAGGCTTATGCAATGTCGCAAACACCCAGGAGAGGCGGGGAGTCAACGGTTGAGGCGTCGTGGGTTTCTTGGGCATTATCTGAAATATCCGTAAGGGCTTCGCCTCCTGCCGCCGGCCCCCTCTCTATCATAATGGGATACATCAAACTATATTGGGATGTTCGGGCGCCGTCTCGATGACATTCGGGAACGTCATGCTAGGGCGGCTGGCAATGAGCAAAACATATTGAGATGTTGAAGTTGTTGTTGAACGCTTTGTTGCCGTCTTGGCATTTTCTTCCAGTTGTTCACTGGAAGCGCTCTGGGAACGGCTGGGGACTGCTTCAGGCAATCTCTGGGAAGGTTATTTTTTCCTGCTCTGGAGAAGGAGTGGCGCCTTTGGGCAGCTTCCGCGAGGTGGATTCTTAGCGTGGGGGGTGCGCGCGAATTTGGTGTAATTTGCAAGGGATCGTGGCCTCGGGGACGCGAAGGTGGCGTAATTTGCAAGGGATCGTGGCCTGGGGGGCGCGACAGCGGCGTCATTTACGAGGGATCGTTGCCTGGGGGGCGCGAATGTGGCGTAATTCACGCGGGATCGTGGCCTCGGGGGCGCAAATGCGGCGTAACTGACGAGGGACCGTGGCCTGGGGGGGTGAATGTGGAACCCACCACCGAATTTTCCAGAAAGGGGGGGGGCAAAAGAATACCAGCAGAGCACATATCCCAATACAGAAAATTGCCGCCTTTTCGGCAGCCTCCGCAAGGCGGATTCGTGGCCTCGGGGGCGCGCCCGCTGCGCAATTTACGATGGATCGTGGCGTCAGGGGCGCGAATGCGTTGCAATTTACGGTGGATCGTGGCCTCGGGGGCGCGAAAATTATGTAAATTATATGGGATCGTGGTTTCGGGGGCGCGAATGTGGCGCAAATCACGAGGGATCGTGGCCTCGAGGGCGCGAATGCGGAGAAATTTGCGAGGGATCGTGGCCTCGGAGACGCAAATGCGGCGTAAATTACAAGGGATCGTGGCCTCGGAGACGCGAATGTGGCGTAATTTACACCAGGGATCGTGGCCTCGGGGGCGCGAATACAGCGTAATTTGCGAGGGATTATGGCTTGGGGGCACGAAACTTTTGTATGTTTACGTGTCCCACGCCCCCCCAGAAATTCTGAGAACCCTCTCAGGGGACGCTAACCAGTGCTCTTTTCGGCTCCCCCCCCCTCGCGCGGACAGTAACAATTTACAGTAGAAAGCAAAAAGCAGCACTGTAACAATGGAAACTGGAAACTGGAACTGGCGCAGGGAGCAGCAACCTTAATCCTCGCAGCCTGATGGCCCCGCAAGGGGGCCGGCGGATCTCTTGTGGGCTTCTTAGGAGCTGTTTGGGGGCTTGGTGGAGCCTCTTGGAGGCAGGTTTGAAGCGTCTTGGGGACCGTTTGGGGGCCGTTTTGAAGCCTCTTGGGGGCCTCTCGGGTCTATTTTTGGTAATCTGTTGGGCCGCCTGGGGGCTTCTCGGGTCCTTTGGGGGTCCTCCTTGGGCGGGCGGAACGATGGGATTGTCGGTTCCACTTCTCCTTCTGGGCATCTCTTGGGGCGATCGCGTGGCGATCGTTGGCCGTCTCGGGCCCCTCTTTGGGCCGTCTTGGCATCCTCTTGGACCGTCCTGGGGCCCGCGTACGGGCCTCTTGGGCAGTTTTAGGGCAGTCTACGGAGCTTCCTGGGCCGTCTCGGAGCGTAGGAAGCTTGTGCAATATATAAAAAGACGTGATTACATATATACAAGCACGTGAGTACATACAGACATACATACATACATACAGCACTACCGACATATATACATACATACATACACATACATACATACATGCATACACACATACATGCATGCATGCATGCATGCATGCATGCATGCATGCATACATGCATACATGCGTACGTACATACATGCATGTACGCATGCATACATTAATACGTGCATACATGCATGCATACTAACATGCACACATGCGTTCACACATGTATACGTACATACATGCATGTAAGCATGTACTCGTATACACATACATACACATACATACGTGCATACAAACATACATACACATATACCGACACATAGTCATATACATACACGCGTATATACACCTACACCTGCACCTACACATACACATACACATGCACATGCACATACACATACGTGCAGTGCATGCATGTATGCATGCATGCATACATTCATACATGCATGTATACACACGCATGTATACACACTTACATACACATATACACTCGCACATACACACGTAGACATACATACATGCATGCGACCATATTTACATATACACATACAAACACACATGCATGCATACATACATACACCTACACCTACACATAGTCATGCACATACACGCGTACATACACCTACACAGTCACCTACACATTAACGTACGCATACACATGCACATGCACATACACATACATGCATAATTGAATGCACGCATGCATGCATGCACACACATAAATACATACATACATACATACATACATACATACATACATACATACATACAAACATACACACATACATACATACATACATACATACATACATACATACAACCACACATATACATACATTCATACATACATACACACATGCATATATATATATATATATACACATACATGCATATATACATACATACATGCATACATACATACACACATGCACTCATACAAGCACACACATACATACATATATACATACACATATACATACAAGCATGCATGCAGGCAGGCATGCATGCATGCATACATACAGACAGACAGACAGACAGACAGACAGACAGAGAGCCATCTATGCAGGAGTAGAGAGGAGGACGGAAGTGAGGAGGATCGAGGACGGATTGGGTCGCGAATCGAGCATCGTGGATCGCGGATCGAGTTTCGTGGATCGGCGGGGCCAGCGGCGCGGAGGCCCTGCCTGGTGCGGCGCGCGCGCCACGGCGAGCCGAGGCCCGGAGCCCGTGCCATACGTGGCGCCCCTGGACCCCCTGAGGCTGTGGTCGGACGCGTCGAAGTGGCCTGGCGGTCAGCTGCCTCAGGACATTCGGGGGCCCCCGAATGGGGCGGTGACCACACCGTGTGGTGAGTCGGTGGGGATTCGGGGTCACCGCACGGTTTTGGGACCCGGGTCGTTTTCCGAGGACGTCTCGGGCACTTGGGGCATCCGAGGTCCCAACACCGTGCGTTGACGGACCGTGCGGCGAGGTCTTGGGGGATTTCGAGGTCACCGCACGGTCTGTCACCGCACCGTTTCGGGACTCAAAGACAGGGCTCACTTCGATTCCTCCGATTCGATTCGATTCGATGTTGATGGCTTCCAGTTCCGATTAGATTCGGCTTCGGATGTCGATTTGGGCTCCGATCCCTTCATGGAGGCCTACAAGGCTGCCGATTTCCGCCGATTCTACTTTTCCCGACGCGGCTGCCGGTTTCCGCCGATCCGATTCATTTTGATCGCCGATCCGACTTGTCGATTCGACTCTGGGGGCGCCTGCCAGGAGGGCGACACGGTCGTCATCAACGCCACAGGACGGCGTGGTGTTCGAGCACTGGCGTCGTTTCTCGGCGGTCCTGCAGCCTCGGGGTGCTCTCCAGCAGCTGCGCCTCGCCGAGAGAGGCGTTCCAGGGGTGCCCAGACCGTCCCGAAGGGCCGCCGGAGGCTTGAGCTATGGGTCGAAAGCCAGTGGGAGGAGAAGGCGCCGATGCCGCTGCTCGTCCTGGAGAGCTCTCGCCACCACGGCCGGGTTGTCCTTGAGATTCTGCGCAGACAGCACCCCGGGAGAGGCCCCGAGAGTAGCGGTGTGGGTGCCTGTTTGCCCCCCCAAGAGGAAAGGCAGAAAGACAAAAGGATAATAATAATACAAAAAATGAAGAGGAGAAGGAAAAGGAAAAAGGAGAAGGAGGGGATAAGGATTGGAGAAGGAGAAAAAGGATAGGAGGAGGAGGAGGAGGAGGAGGAGGAGGAGGAGGAGGAGGAGGAGGAGGAGGAGGAGGAGGAGGAGGAGGAGGAGGAGAGGGAGAGGGAGAGCGCGACACGGTTGTCATCAACGCCCCAGAGTGGGCCCGCTTCGGCTGGGGGCTCTGCGCACCACCGCTGGGCACTCGCAGACCCATCTCGCTGCGCGTGGCCGGCCTCCTGCTCGTCGTCGGCGTCGCCCCTTCGGTTCCCCAGATTTCCGGCTGCTCTGCGCGGGCTCCAGAGACGAGGGCAGCTCGGTGCTCCAGAGTTCCTGGCTCGTGTCCCGAGCGAGCCGCAGCATGATGCCATCGTCGTCCTGTCCCCTTCTCCCCATCGGTGGCCTCACGTTTTCGCAGCTGCACGGTGCCCTTTTCGTCGATTGCCGTCTGTGGACTGTCTTCGGCCCGCTGGACCACGATCGCTGGCCTGCTGGCGCAAGATGCTGCTGCAGGGGGCCTCCCAGCCCTGGCCCAGGCACGCTGGCGCCCGGCCGCGAAGAGGGCCTTCGGAGGCCCGGTAGTGGCGAATGCGTACGCGCTCCTTCTGCCCAGTGAGGGGCTCAAGGAGGAGGAGAAGGAGGAGGAGGAAGATGAGGAACATGGGAAGGAAGGGGAGAAGGAAGAGGAGGAAGAGGTGGAGGAGGAGGAGGAGGACGAAGAGGAGGAGGAGGAGGAGGAGGAGGAGGAGGAAACACCCTCAAAATGTTTACTGGCTTGGGCCCACAAGCTCTGCTCCAGGGCGGACCCTACCTTTAAAGTTTGAGGTAGGGTCCGCCCTGGAGCAGAGCTTGTGGGCCCAAGCCAGTAAACATTTTGAGGGTGCTGGGGCCGAGTTCGGTGTGGATCTTACTGTGACTTGGGCCCACCTCAAGAGTTTGCGTAGGAAAGGGCTGAATAATCTGGCAGCTGTTTTAGAGATGGTCAGCCAAGGGGCCTTGTGGCCTGCCAAACGAAGGTTTGAAAACACCCGCCTGGGATCACCGTGTTGCCCGAGGTGTGGGGCCCTAGAAGAAAGCCTGTCTCACCAGTTCTGGGAGTGCCCGAGTAACAACGAAATTCCAGAACTTAGTGAAGACCGCGACCTAGTGGCCCAGTCAGTAGAAGGGGCACGTAGGTACCCCTGGCTTGGGCTTAGAGGTCTGGTCCCAATCTTGTGGACCATGGCGGGGGCAGATCTCCCGTTTCTAGTAGAAGAGGTCACGCTCGAAAGAGAGTGGCCAGAATCGGACCGTCTACCGCTCCTTCCAGGCACCGTCATAGGTCCCGATGGGTCAGGAGGTGAACACTCGCGAGGCGCCAGATTCCGAAGAGTTGGATGGTCGTTCGTCGTCTGTGTCGGAAAGGAGGTCAAGGCGGCAAAGCGAGGTAGTGTAGCGGGACCGAGACAGACTGTACCGAGAGCAGAGTTGATAGCAGTAATTCGAGCCCTACAGTCAACAACAGAGGATGCCACAGTAGTAGTAGTAGACGCAAGTTATGTAATCAAGGGGATCCACCAGGGACCCACGGCAGTTCACCAGTCTAATGCAGATCTGTGGGTCGAGTTTTGGACGGAGACCCAGGCCCCGGAGGGCCGATTTTCGTATTTTAAAAGTCAAAAGTCACTTGAGCGAATCCGAGATAGGGATCGCAATCAGTGAGACACACTGGCATGCCAACGCCGAAGCCGACATAAGAGCGGAGGAAGCGGCGAAGGATGCAGCACCCAGTGTGGCTTTAGTGTTCCAGGTCAGAGAAGCGGGCAAATTAGCATGGAGAGCCCAAGAGAGGCTCATTACCATCGGTCTTGAGGTGGCCAAGCAGGCCGCAGATTTGTATGGAACCACTCTCAGAGGGGACGTCGCCGCCAGAAAGAAACATAACGCCAAGGCCCAATGCGAGGCTCGAGAGGCGGCTACCCGAGGGACCTCCAATGTTTTAAAGCAAGATAACAAAGGTTTCAAGTGTAAGATGTGTTTAAGATCTACCAGCAAAGCTGGGTTGATCCAATTCTGTGCGGAGGCATATGAAAAGAAACCTTTTGCTATCCACAGCTCGCACAGACTGGAACAACTACGCAGAGGCCTGTGGTTTTGCAGGGCGTGTGCAGCGCAGGGCAGTGTGCGTTTCTTGAAGTTATCTAGCCCTTGTATTCCAGGTCTCAACAAGGAGGGGAGATGGACCCTTCAACAGATAGACCAGGGCAAGAAGCCCAAGGGAGTAAAGCAGTGGCCTGACGAGAAGGAGGCTTGAAGGTGCCGCCACTTTTCCTCTCCCCGACTGCCCACCGACGACAGCCCGCTGGGTTCGTCGGTCGAGCTTGCCAGGGGGAGGATGGCCAAATTTTCGAGCTGGATCCCAGGCCTTTCTTTTTTTTTTTCTCCCAATTTTGTATATGGCGCCCCCCAGCCCATGGCTGGTGGAAGGGGTCGGGCCAGGGGCCAGGGGTCAGGGGGGAGTTGCTCTCGCCTGGCCCGACTCTTTAGGAGGCACTGATGTAACCATCGGACACTGCCTCAGGTGGGGGTGCAGGAGGACGAGGACGAGGACGAGGACGAGGCCGAGGCCGAGGGCGGGGAGCAGGACGGGGACGATAACACAGGAAGAGGAGGTCGCGAAGAGGACAGTCGAACGGGGGAGGGGAGGTAGGGGGCTTGGGCTTCTCTCAGCTCCCAGACCCCCCACGTCTTGAAAGAATCACCACGGACGATTGTTCTGCAGTTTCGGCCTCCGGGGGGCCCTTACCAGGCCCCAGGACCGTCACACAACGATGAAGGATGAGACGCCAGTGCCAGGAAGTCGGTCCTGAGTTCCTGGGGCCAGCGTTGCGGAACAAAAAATCGACGTCGGAGTTTTGGGTAGGCTCAGGGGGGGAGTCATCGACCCCGAAGGGCCCACCCATCGCCGACAAGGGGGCCTGATAGCCCACCCCGCCAGGCAGCGTCTGGATTCGCACTCGGGGGCATATCGCCGATCTATCGGGGATGTATCGCCGAGTCCAACCAGATGTTTCACCCCTCTATCAGCCCGTCCCCACCGACCGCTTCCCCTCAGATGTTGGTGACTGCTTGTGGTGCATACTATTGATGCCCAATGCTAGTTTCTGGTATTGATTTACGTGAGCTGGTTACTCGTGTGTTTGCTTGATGCATGCTATGGATGGGTGTGAGTGATGCATGTTCGTCGTGCCTCATCTCGCAGTTGTCGTATGTGCGGCTGGCCTCGGTGTAGGATATCCGTGTGTGAGTTCGGTGTATAGAATGGATGCATGGTTGGGGGTGCGTCTTATTCGTGGCTGGCGATGTGCATTGTATGTGTGAGTGTTATTCGTGTATGGTGTTGCAGGTTGCTGGTGCTGGTATCTGGGGTTGTCTGTGGTGTATGATATACACGATGTCCTTTGGCATTGGTCCATGCCCCTGGTGTATGTGATTGGTGGGTGGTGAGGGTGGTTGTTCCTTACACGTGCTAGTGATGTATGTTGTGGTGTGCGTTAATGTTGTACGGAGTTGGTGTATATGTTTGATGATGGTCTTGTGTGGAATTTAGTTTTCGTGTTTCTTATCTATGTGTTTGATTCACGCTCTGCGCTCTGGATGTATGTGGACGGCGTACCGCTACCAGGTCGCAGTATGCAGGGCGGGCGAGGCGGGATACCCAGGGATCACCCGGACCATTGGGACCTGGCGGCCATCGTGTGCAAGGCGGGCGAGGCGTGACCCCTGGGATTGTCTGACGGAGCCAGGCCTGGCGGCCGAGGTGTGCAGGGCGGGCGAGTCGATTCAGACCTCCCTCCTCAAATATAAGGCAGCCCCAACCTGTCTGTAGGAAAGCTGGCGACCTGCCCCTCTCTGGCAGGTCATTTCCCAGCCCAGAGGGGCCTCGAGCTCATCCCGCCTCCCCCATGCCTTCCTCTGCGGCGCGATCGATTGGGCAGATCCCCCTGGCGCAGAGCACACTTGGGCGACGAGCGGCACAAAGCGGACGGGGCTTGCGGATGTCGACTCTCCGAAGGCAGCCCGGCTGAAGTGGAGCTGCAGCTCAGAAGACCGCCCCGCACTGTTCGGCCAGCGCTCGTGCCCAGCGCCGCCCCGCCCGATGGCCCCCCGCGCAGTGGCTCCGCCCAGTGGCCCCCATCGCCCCCCGCCCGTTCGGCAGCCCCTCCCGCGCAGTGGCCCTCTTCCCTGCGCGCCGAGGCCCCGTCCTCGACGCGGCCCAGCCCTCCCTCCCCCCACGGCCCTGCAGGACAGCCCAGTCCAACCCCCCACTCTCCATCCCCCCCAACGCTCCTGGAGCCGTGCACCCCGCGCCAGAGCCGAAAGTGCAGGTCACCCGCAGGGGCTCGAAGATGACCGCGCTTCGCGCATCGCGGCTTGGGTTGGAGAGGCGCCCTTCTCCAAGCTGGTCTCGCGTTGTGCGCGAAGATGACCGCCCGTCGCGCATCGTGGAGCACGATGCGCGACATTAGGTTTCTTTCCTGGGGGTTCTCACAGAGGCCCGGAAGCATTTCCCAGCGGACCTTCAAGATCGTCGCTGCGGCCCCGAAGTTTTTTCCGGTGGCCGTGGAGTGTACCCAATTGGGAATTGAGTTT